TTTCCCTTATGGGCCACCGTACGTTTGGCCCTGATAATATGTCTAAGTTTGCCAGGGACCAAACACCACCTCGTTGGTTTCACCAAAGTGGTAAACATCCAAGACATGCATACATTCGAGTTCTCCAACAGTATCATGCTGTTTCACTATGTTATTACTGAAATACTCCCATTCTTTAACATAGGCTCACGACAGTTGTAGCGCTACGATCGCTTTGCGGAACGAGGCGCAGATGAATACACAGTAAATTAAGTCAGCTGCGACCAATTAACACCAAAAAATTAATAAATTCATCACTTTAAAGAGTGAATGACCTCGGTTAAATAGCGGGAAATAAACACAGAGGGTCTATCCCTAAAATAAGTCTCGTGGACAACAACAAAAAACACGAAAAACGCCTATCAAACTAGTCTTATAGACTTAAGACTCGCTTTGTCTGGGCAAGGGCATTCTGAATTTCCCAAAGACATAAAGAATTTGACCTACGGAACAAGTACAAATATTAAAAAGGTACTTGACCAAGGGGTAAACCGACTCCAAATAGTAAACAGGTACTTGACCTAAACTAGACAAAAAATAGACAATCTGTCCCGGTCAGCCGTAGGAATGAATAGCCTGGCGTGCTTACCAAACTGTGTTTCCTAAAATAGGGAAAACCCGCAAACTCCTACAAAACCAATACGGAAGATGTAAGTACAAAAATAAAGCACTGAACATAAGCTATCCAACAGTTTTACCAACGATTTACAGGGGCGGTCGGGTAGCCTAGTGGTTAAAGCTTTCGCTCGTCACGCCGAAGACCCGGGTTCGATTCCCGACATGGGTACAATGTGTGAAGCCCATTTCTTGTGTCCCCCGCCGTGATATTGCTGGAATATTGCTAAAAGCGGCGTAAAACCAAACTCACTCACTCACTCACTCACTCACCAACGATTTACAACCAGATATGTATTGAGGTTATTGAGGTGGAATAAATGTCGATGTATGAGAAATATCTATAAGTACAAGAAAATTGCGCTCATGCGTGAAAATAAAAGTCATAAAACAGTTCCAATAAATGAATAGGGGAGCAGACATATATGAGATAACCTGTATCAAATCGATACATGATATAAGTGTGCGATGATACAACTGTAGAATACATTTTACAGGTCCCCTTTTCTCTAACAAAGAATTAAAGGCACTGGAAAAACGATGGACTGGTGACGGGGAAGCCGGAAATATTGAGGGAGAGGAGAGTGGTGCAAGGCTGGTTTTACTACCATCGTTTTAAAGCAAAATATTCCGGAATGTAGATTAAATATGGCTCCACATAGTATTGCTGTTCCTGTTCTTGTGAAGAAAAAGTTTGTTGAACATATTTCATCTAATTTACTGTTATCGTTTAGAAGCACAATATTACCGAATACAGAACGGCCTCTTGTTCCTCTCTCGACACCAAATAACGTCCTTATACACGTTGCTCCGCCACTGTACCCAAATAAGATACTGGTCGAAAGCAATGGGGTTTCTATCTGTATCAGTGATACAATGAACTCCCTCAAAGCATGTGATTGTGTTGTATTCTTCGACAATCCAAAGGGTTTGCCAACATAAATATCCCACCACTTAACAGAGAGCATAAGGACTATTGTGTAGAACTATCAGTGAAATGGTAGTTTGGACGCGGGAGAAACTTCGCCATGTGACAAAAGTGGCAAGATATAATAAAACAGAGGCGAATTTGAGGATATTATTTGTTTACGTAGTGCAACCATTGCACATTTCTCACAGAAGTCGAGTGGTACGCGGGATGAGTCCAACTGTTGACATCAAAACACATCCAGTAATTTGGTGCAGGTGTGGAAAGACCAGAAATGTATGTATGTCCAAAGCTTTATATATAACTGTCCTAATATCCTATAGAATGAAACGATAAGGCAAGCCATAACAACTGTCCATCCTCTTCAAAAGCATGACACCTCCATGATACTCATCACAAACATATTGTTAGTGAGTTAGAATATGCTATTTGCAGATCAATTGTTTCATTATAGTTACGTTTAGTTGATTGTCAAGGCTTAGAAAGGTTATGCTATTGTAAGATAACGTACCACAACACTTGGCAATATTTGCTTTATGTTTGTTCATCTTTGCCTATTTGCCTTAATATCTTTCTTTTCCTTTACCTTTCCTTTTCTGTATGTACAGTCTCCAGGTGCTGAGGTGTGCGTTCATCATACTCGGAATTAGAAAACAGAGAAGCAATGCCTCACTTCAGAGTCCAACTTCGATGACAACTGGACCGTTGTCTACTTACCCTTGCATCAGTGTTTTTGCCCCAGGTGACTTGTTAGACGAAGGATGGGGAGTTTTGAGACGACTAGTAGTGACAGGTTCACAAGGAGCAAGGGGACTGTCGTAATATTCTTGCAGATTATGTCCCTGGTGACTCTCCACTGTTTATTTTCAGCAGATTAAGACGTAAGTTTCTCATGTTTCTGTTCCAAACTGTCCCATTCATATAGGTGTTGAACGCGATGTGGAAACAAGATATCTGTTAGGAATAAACACCATACATAAAATATTGCACAAATAATATACTACACATATCTGATGTGCATGAGTCAGTATCTTTTGTTAACACTACAGTAAGAAATATCATAGCTTTATCGCATCTGCTTGTAAATAATCGACTGAGGGACAGACATGTTGATAGTTGCCAACCAAGGAACGATCAATGTCATCTGGCAGGATGCCCTTCAGCTCGGTCAAACGTCACTTTATATCTACATTTTAATTACTTCTGTATAGGGTACCAGAATATCGTTTGGGGCGTGCCCACACTGCAAAAGCTTTTTTCCGCACATGGACATTGGATGATAAATGGACGAAAATTGCATTACAATTGTCTCGAAAATCAGAGGCCAATACTTTCAATGATACACAGTCTGTGATTAGCAGACTATGGAACAGGTACCAACAAATCCAAAATGTTCCAGATCAAAGAAAAGAGTACAGGATCGATTTATCCGAAACCAGGCTCTACGAAATTGAGCTCACGCGGCGAATCAAATGCGTGCAAACTTTCATTAGGTTACTGGACGTACGGGTTATGGGTCAGACGAGTAGAAATCGCCCATATTGAGCTCATCGCTATGCTCGACGGCCACGTGGTGTGATGCCCCTTACAAATCGTCACACTGCCAACAGACGTCAATGGTGTACATAACGCCGAAACTGGAGTAATCGTCGCTGGTCACGTGTCATGTTTTCAGATGAGTCCCGATTCACTTTGCATTTCCTTGATAGACGACGTCGAAATGAACGTTAAGACATTGTCAACCTGAGACCTCATGACAGACTTGGCGATGGATCGGTTATGGTGTAGGGTGGCATCACTATGACTGAGATCGCTGACACCCTTTGTTGTCCCGTTTGCAAGCATGTGGGTCGACGTTTTGTCTTTTAAGGATGATAACGCCCGTGCTTACCTTGCACGAATCGTCAATGCTCACCTCCAGCAGCACAAATCCATAGCATGACATGGCCAACAATATGCCCATACCTTTCCCCCATTGAACACGTTGGATGAACTTGGCGAGGGACTGCAAGAGAAGTTAGATAGATTCCCTCAAATCGCCATTGTGAGACTTTTGCTTCGTTGAGTGAATGAATGGTCTTTTTCGAATCGTGGCGGTATTACTCACTCCTGATCCAAAAACGTCAACTGTGAAATTTCCCATCTTGCCCCTACCGTCTTTCAAGATCTTTGGCGGTCATAGCCTCTACCGTAATACTTCACCACAGTTTGAAATGTGTTCCCAGTTCGTTCATTATATTCATTCAACTATTATTAGAAACTAATTTGGAGAGACAAAGAAATCGACTTTTATCTCGTTGAATTCATTATCATCGTGGGGAGTATGATCTCTCGTCATATGCATCAGCATGTATCTCATCTTGACCAAAATAGGACGAAAACCGTCCCTTGAAATGTTTTTAACATTCTTCAATGTCAATATTATGTTCGGGGATGGCGATTGCATGAAGACTTTTAATTGTTGACCAAAACCTATTTTGAATGATGAATGCACTGTTCATAAATATCCTAGTGTTTGATATATCCATATATTCACTTACCACATAATTACCATGAAACAATTACATCTTGTATACAATTACAAAATAACAATTATGTGGAAATGGCCGTAATCACGTAACAGTGCGATGGTGTAAACAAAACAACTAATGTTTTAAGCTTGCAGCTTTGTAAGTGAACCGTAGTGTTATGAATGTTACGAATTAACAACTGAATGCAAAAAATCAAAGTTGTGTTTCGGTTCAGATGGTTGTGGGTTGAGACGTTGGAGGAAATGCCTGTCCTTTGCATACTGGTTCCTAATGGCGTCACATTATCAACTGCAAAGATCTTGACGCCGGGTAGATGGTGTCCATGAAAGCATTTCTGAAGATTGGATTCATTTTTATGTTTTATTTGTAAGGTCTTCGGGCCAACATAACATGCAACACAGAGGTACGAACACAAGACGCTTACTTGACAAGGACAATGACAGTTTGTGATTCCACGTGCAGCCACACACTACAGTTGGGGACCGTTGCGTTTGGCCGGGAAGAACCTCCAATATTCATTCTACAATTTAGCATATAAATGGCACTCCGTAACGTTTCAATACTCGTTTATTAGATGAATACAAGTAGTAACAAGTTATACAATCGTGTGGTAATACCGGCGATTAATCTGTTGTATTGTCCAGTGCCCATTGTGATGTGTGAAAAAAGTCAGTTTATTGAGGTTAATAACTTATTTACGTGTCACGCGTTACAAAGGTAATGATTCTTGGAACAATGGTTTGACATAAAACACACAATCAGCATGGTCTCTGAGAAGCCATATGTAATTGAATGCATAGTATATTTGCATTGTCGTAGTAAATATAACTCCTCCCCCCCCCCCCCCCCCCCCCCCCCGACTAATCAAGTGATTTAGAACTGTATAAACTTAAGGTATCCATGGCAGCTTCATGCCTTACCTATATATGATAAAAGCAAGCAAGAATAAATTAAAATAGGAAAAGTTTATGTTTATGTTTGTCCTAATCGCTAATCATTGAGCTTAACTAGGAGCAATAAATAAATACACAAACAGTTAAATGAAGCTTACTCATAGGAAAATACACATATTGCAAAATACATATATATATCCTATATGTACGAGGGGCGTTCAATAAGTTTTGCACACACAGTTAAATCACCCACCCTACAGCCCAGACTTAGCCCCCAGTGACTATTTCCTGTTCCGGCAAATGAAATCTGCCCTACGTGGAAGATGCTTCCAGGACGACGAGGACAAAAAAGCTGCCACAGAGGCGTGGTTAGAGGGCCAATCTGCGAATTTCTAAAAAAGTGGTATTAAAAGCTCGAAGGACAAATGGAATAAGTGTACTGAGGTGAATGAAGATTATAATGAAAACTAAAAGTGCAAAAGATATTCTGCGACTTGGTCTTATATTAAAGTTGCAAAACTTACAGAACGCCCCTCGTACATATAAGTCTAAACCGTTACTGTAGTATGTAAGTTTCTCAAGATACCTGTTGAAGTTCCGTGTCAGAACAGGCCCCCGTTACTTAATGCCTGTCGTATATGCTAACGAAAATGGGGATCGAGTGGTCCGCGCTATGCCTTGGCTGATTGTGTATCATAATACACGAGAAGGCACGGGACGTTGATCATGCTACTACCCAGTGATTTTCCTGGTCCAGATTTTATTATTTACGAACTCTTGTGATATGGCTGGAAAATTGCTCACTGTGGCATAGAACAACTGGTAATACACTGAGTCTACATCTAAGTGTAAAAATGACATATGTTATATGTATAAGAGACATTAGTACAATTAACAGGAATACAAATTCAAATAATATGTGCTAACATAAGTATGTAACTAGATAGCAATAAACAATGTAAACGAATCATTATGCTTCAACAACATTACTTATCTTATGATCTTACGTTTGTTGATGATTGTAAAACTAAGTCACAATGTAACAATTTCCCAATGTGAATTTGTTCCTGTTTTTGTTCTTTCAAACCCCAGCTGAATCTTTCCTTGTTTTGTTTCAAACATGGATCCCAACGAAACAGAACAAGCCTTGAATGCACTGTCAGTTGTAAATTAGGAATGACATATTGTTCTTTTGGTAGTCATTTCATGATAATGGTTTGTATTGAATTATTGATTTTTACAATTTTGTTTCGTTTTTCAGGGCATTGATATCCACTGCGTGGGGATGAGATGGCCTGTACACTTCGACAGGAACTTCAGATGGCCGTGCCTTCAAAACATGTTTGGATGAAACTCTTCTTCTTTGTGGTGGTCTTCTTTGCCCTGACTGGTACGAAAAATCCTCCGATATGATATCATTCCTTCGGCCAAGTTCCCACACGCGTGTACGACTGCTAGTGTTGAACATAGCTGCTGACGAATCTGTTTCATCACACTTGGTGTTATTTTGGTCTTCATTAACCCTATGGACAAAGATAGACGTAGATACTTCTTTAACGCTAGTTTGATGTATATTAGCGTTTGAAGATGAAACTCTGGATGAGCCTGATACATCATCAGGTACTGTGCTATTGATGATTTGCCTTCTAATCTCTTTTGTCTCTCTGTTTCTGTCATTCACTCTTTTCATAATCTTCTTCACGCAAGCCTCTGTTGTTTTTACTTTCTTTGCAATGTGTGCTATTGTCAACGTCTCTATTGATGATAGTTGTTGGGCATCCACTTCATCCCTCTCTTCACAGAGTTTCCTACATGTATCGACAAAATCCTTCTCAAAACTTTGACTTGCACCATCTGGTTCATCCGAAGCAGTTCTGTTTGCGGAGAATGGCTTATTGTGTAAGCTCTTCAGGTGATATGATATGATAAACTTCATTATGGTAATGGCGGCTTTATCATTGTGCTTGTCTTCGCTCCTCTGAGACTTTTGTCGAATATCTGTTGTTGAAATGATATGAATAAAAGTCGAGAATCGGTGGATCAACATTGCTGTGAACTGTACCACAAGCACTGCGCCGAAAACAATCATAAATGTCACAGATATAGGCTCGAAGTCCTCCCCTACGAACCTTTCACTTTTGCAAGGAAGGCTTATGGTGAGCTGTGGGGTCATTTGAAGTGTAAGGACAAGAATGATAAGAAGACTATTTGCCACAAGAAACAATAAGCATGACATATTTCTCAGCTCCTTCAAGTCTCTCTGGATTTTGTCATGGTATTCAAGTTGGGCAGTTTGAGGTTGTAAGTATTTTTCAATGAGTTCTTTCCAGAATCTATCTTCGCCGTCGTCCTCCCGTGCCTTAATGAACCGTTCTTGAGCTGAGTGCGTGGGAATATTGTACGCCCTATCTTGAGACCAGTTATCAACTGAAATATTGAGAAAAACAATTTTCAAATATATTCATCAATGTGAACATGTCTTACAAAGGTGGTATAAAACAAAAAACCTTTACTGTTAGACTTTATGAAACATATCTTACATTTCAACTCTGGCAAAAAGATGAGCTATTAATGTGTCTGTTTTCAGAATGTGGTTAATACGTGAAACATGTACAATGAAATATATCATATTGACCTTGATCACGTGGCTGTTGCAATATCTTTTCAATGTTGTCCAACTTATCCAGTATATTTCTGTTTTCCTCTCGAGCCAAACACATACATCGGCAAAGAGAACTTGCACTTGCGCCTTTTGTCAATCGTGACCAAACCGATTGGAGTTGTCTCCCCTGACCATCACTGTTTTGTTCAGTTCTGGCTGCCCGTTTCCCCTCCCGTGTTCCCCATGAGATGCTGTTAAGGTTGCACAAAGAATAGATGACCATCAACATTGACATCGTTGGCGTGAAGAAGAAATAAACGACACCAGCAAAGATACAGCTGAACTCTTGCGGGTGAAGAAGTGCACAGGAAAAGAATATCCCAAGGATGGTGATGAGGAAGATAGTGGTGACAGAGCAGTAGCCATGCTTGTCTGCTTGAAGGACAAGCCCTACCAGTACCATCATCATCAACAGCATGTAGAAGATGCAGAGGACTCCAGCCACTTGGATCTAGCATGAATACAACATTAAAAGATTGCACATCTCCGAGTTAGGGCAATTCCACTCTAAAATAGAAATTCCTGTTTTTCCTGACTTTCGAACTTACTCTATTCTGGTCAATAACAAGTGTTAATTCAGAATGTCCTGGCTACAACAGCCAACATAATTACCTTATCAGTGTCAACATTATTAACTATAGTAAATTAATATACCAGTAAACATGTAATCATTATGTCCCTGTCACATAGGTCTTTCTTGAAAACACAATATGTTTAACTCCTAATTACTACGGAGAAACCCCCGCTCGTTTTGCAGACACAACCATTCTAATTACCTGAGTTTTGACTTGAGTGTATAGACAAACAAGAATGAAGACACCAACAGGAATAAGATTGAACATGAGCGCTCCATACAGTGGTATCCCGGGAAAGGCCACGTTGATAGCACCAATGATTAAAAGAAAGATTGTACCAGGAGTCAAGAGCAGACACACCATCAATGCCGTCTCATACATTAGAAAGATTGAGGATATGTTCTTGTTCAGCTTGGTCAGGTGTTTCCAGCCCTGTCAGAAAGCATGGGCGTTGATTAATAATTTATCTCAATCAACAGAATGCTTTCACTTCTAACTGTTGATACAGAAATATCTAGATTCAATATATGTTCATAAATATGTACTCCTCACACAAAATTAACAACATTAATTACTTTCTGGATAACTGATTTGTTAAAGCAGTTAAGAGAGTGCACACAAATAGTCCAAAGTGGAAGAAAGGTGTACTGTGGTGAAAGAGTTCTCCTTAAAAGCCACTGCTTAAAGAATGCCTGTAAGAACATACTTACGCTTAACAGGTCGAGCATGTTTGCTATCGTTGATGGATTCCATCGTTTCCGTTGGTTAAAGAACTCTCCAAATCCTTCTGGGGCAAAAGTGAATGAATCGGAAGCTGCGCAGTATTCAATTTTGTGGCCTCGTTGAAGTAACAAGGTACATAACCATCGATCCTCGCCTGAAAAGATACAGAAACGAATTATTCATTACTTGTTTGGCGTGGATCTATGATGTGATGCTAGAGGAGAGACCTCGCTTTTTGGATGGTATTTTTCCTTTAAAACACGAGTGGGAAACGCTGTTCAGCTACAACTGATTTGATACAAATACATTACCTGACGTGTCCGTCTATCATATAACGAGTGAATGGTGGTTTATGCCACAATCAGCAACAATTTATCTCTATCACGGTGGCCTTGGATCAACTTTGGGATATATGTACAAAATGAGTGATGTTTTGAACTGATGTTAAGCCACTGACATTTACATTTACCACTTTGGCGAAACCAACTAGCAAGGATACTAGGATTCTAAATGTCGGGGCCACCAATGCAAACAATTTGATGCACTGTAATACCTTGGTCGTATTGAACAAAATGTCTTGCTTCGGTTGACATGGTGGCATACTTCCGTATGACATCCTTGGACGTTAGTGCAGAGGCTCTGTACAAACTGAAACAGCCAGGGCTGCAGAGAACACATCCTGTAACATGCTCTGCAGCCTTCTGCAGCCAGTGACTCACCGCATATTCAAATTTCTGGTACCACAGAATTGGACCTGTTTATAGATTGGAAAAATAATTTTTATTACAAATATATCACTGATCGTTGTGGCATGACAAAATTCAAACAAGTTTGATAAAATAAAGACACCGTTGGTGTTCCTTATGATCGTGTCAACATCAACTCTCAAGTACACATGGAGAGAGTTTAAGGGTTGTCATCAGATGTTTACTCTACCAGTTCCTATTCCAATAGGATGTATCCTTCCACAAGCTGCTCCTACATCCGGGTCTCGCCTCATCCGGTCCAACAACATCTTTACAGCACCATCCTGAAAGTCCACATCCCCATCCAAGGCCAACAGAAATATATTGTCCAGCTTATCCTCCTTCTTGCACCGGAATCCGAGGAGGTAGTACAGATACATTACCTGGAAAGTAAAATTTAGAGGATATAATTCTAAGCTCCATACAAAAAGATATAATATAATACAACCACTGAATGATTTTCTCTATATTCACAGAGTCATTGAGATAAGAGGAATAAATACCACGAAGATTTTCAATAACTTCAAGAATGTGCTTGAATGTTTGCAAACTCAGAAAAGAGACTGTCAAAACATTTGATTATCAAACTTGTACAACTCTACCCAAAAGGACAAACCTTAGGAGAAACTTAATTCCTTGATCAAACGGGCATTTGTCATTGAACGTATTGACCATATTTAATGGTGGCCTTTTTCAAAGATAATATATCTATTTGACATTTAGGGATAAAACATTTAGGCAGGACTTCCCCGTGGACACCAGCTAGGAATGAAGGCGACCAGTGAAACTGCCTCATCTGTTTCATATTTAGATCACAGCATAACAAGTGATCAGGGTTACAGAATCCAAGACCTTAAGTTTTATGGGGAATATCTTGAGGACATTTCCAAATTTGAGGCATCAGTGACCAAAATGATGTCCGATGCAATTTCCTTTTCTGACTTGTACCACATGTCTCCGCGTTTGTTCAGGTTAACAATTGATTTGCCTTTGCATGTCTTTGTATGTGTGATGGGAAAGCATACGCACATCTTTTCGCTAATAACCGGTGATTCTATTAGGTTTGCACATTCGATAACTTTTAAAAAGTAATTTTGCGTGTATCAATACAGAAAATCGTGACAAATTAAAACATCAATACTATCACAAATGTCACAACAGTTTCGGTCATCCTTGAACCAATGTATCATTGGTTTTGTCGAAGTTTTGTAGAAATTAGACAGGTGGTACTCCTGTTCCAGAGGTCTCAGCCATCCCACCCTGACAGGTTGGATCGATGGAGATAACGGGATTGCTATGTCTGGTCTTGTGACAACATCATCAAGGAATGTGTACTGCAGCATTAATCCGTTCTGTTCCTTTAATTGGAAAGACCCAAACAAACTAATTTGCCAGTATTACACACATCCAAAAGAGTAAATAGGTTGAGCCTACAAACCTGACTCCAGCGTTTCTTATTTCTGATTTTTGTTTTGTCCTTCAAGTGCGCCGTCAGGGCCGTTTCCCTAACTCCAGGTAATGTCCAGGCGATTTTTCCTCCATAGGGAGTTGGACGATACGACGCTTTTGTGGTTTTTCTAAAAAAAACACATATTTACCAGCATCAGAATTCAACTTTATGCGGTTGTTTATATTCCGTGCGTTGGTTATTTAAAATTAAAACCATTTCCCTACATCATTTCTTCGGGTTAAAGATTCATTCATTCCGAGAGGTAACCTACATATGCATGCCGTTATTTAACCCATAGGAGATCTCGTTACAAAGGTTCTGAAAACCTAGAGACCTACCCAGCAACCTCCTGCACAACTTGTATCAACTGTTCAGTCCACGTGTTGAATCGAGCCTCATCTCCACGATCTGTTCCTTCAAACGCGTCGTCAAGGAATATATGCGCTGCCAATACAACTTATAACTATAGAACAACATGGTCAGGAAGCGCAGGTACGTAAAATACCAAAACAATACCCACTTAAACGTAGACATGTAGAATAGAATGATTCCAGTGCAGCACCAAGATGTTATTGCTCAGTGATATTATTCGGCATCCTTACACGGTTGTTAGACCAAGACTCATTTACAGCTCTAACACTAATTGTACTGCAATACAACAAGTGTGATTTTCACTATTACCTTCAAAGTTGTATCTGTCATCATTCGAACTGTCTGTATTTTGGGTTTCTTGTTTTGGGGCCTTCCTTGTACTCATATTGCGCTGTTTCTGATTCGGTTCCTTAGGGGCGGTATATGTAGGATTCTGTTTTATATCAGCCCATGCCCGTGTTGCGCCACTATCTATGGCCAGTCTGAAAGTTTATATCATTGAGAATGTATCAAAACTTCCCTCATGTAATAATTTCTAAGTTGGAAGAAGGCAAATAGGAATAAAGCAAACAAGCTACAATTACACACTCATAACTTTAGAAATGAGCTGGTTATTTATCAATATATTATACTTATCTCCTTATCGTAATACTTCATGGTGATATTGACAGACCGGTGTGCTGATAAACATCCTATTGCAAATAACGAAGTGGAAACAGAGGGTCATAATGATAGATGCAAGTGTAGCATCAATTACCAATAAGGTGAGTTCAGATCAAGATATTCTCTTGAATTATGGATGGTATTGTATACAAACTTATACAGGGTGTAAATGGTTATGCGTATGAGGAAATATTGTTTTATGCAGCAATCGTCAATATCGACACCATACAACGAAGTAAAACAACGTCAGAACTGTACTAGTGGTTGATAGTGAAAACGTACACACAACCAGCATCATAACATGATCCTCCACAGCATATAGGGTAATATATTAACTCTTCCCACAAGCATGGGCTATCTGTACGTTCCAAAATATCTACAACGACCACGTTATCTACCAGTTTACCGTTATACGATTTCTCACGTTTCATTTATGAATCCATATCATCTTGGGAAAAAATGAATGGGCATCTATCTTAAAACAGCGTTATATTTCATACAAGACCGCTTCCGTGGTCTAGTGGTAGAGAGGAAGGTCGGCGGTTCGATCTCCGACCACGTCATACCAAAAGACGTTATTAAATGGACTTCTTGTTACCCTGCCTGGCACTCGGCATTAAAGGGCCAAAACAAGGGTTGGGTGGCAGTCAATCAGTATGAGTGGGGAATTCGCGTTAAACTTCGGCATAGTATCTCAGTGAGCTAGCACTACAAAATCGGCATTAGTCCGGACCAGTACAAGAGGCAACACACACGTACATGCACGTTGCTATATAAGTGCAATAATCTTGAACGCGACGTTACACTCCATTTCACCTCATCTCACCTCACCTCACCTACATTTCATATAAAGTTCATACTTTAGAGTTTGTCACCTCAGAACATTTTCTAAAATAAGCATACCTGTAAATTGATTTCAAAACTTGAGTCATTTCTCGTTCAGTCTCGTGCCACATTGTTACACATGCGATGACCAAGGGTACGTCCTCCTCTTTAGCTTGCTTGACACATACTTGTTCTTCAATGTTCTATGGAATAATTGTGAGAACCATGCAATATCATTATCACAAGATGATAGAGACATTAACAGAAAGAAGTTAAACATATGTTAAGGTCAATTATTACCTGGGAATACATTTAATCGCAATTATGATTGTAAATCACTCCTTCTTTTGTAACATGCACGTAGTGTGAGTGACTGTTGTGAGGCTGCTTTGATTTGTAGTTATGATACCATGGTGTGTGAGCTTAATGTGGGAGAAAAATGCAAAGGGACACAGAAGGTTAGCCTTTTTGGTGAAAACATTGGTAGGGTTTTGAAAGGCCACATACCATAATAACCATAATGTTTCGGTAACTGTTTACAAACATCTGACTGATGATAAATAAACTTTACCCTTGCTTCGGTAGCCATTCTTCTGGACAGCGTCAGCGATTCGCCGACAAGTATTCCACAATAGAAAGGTCTGACGAATAACCTGAAATTATTGAATATATCATATTATGAAGCAGATCATGATGTACATAAACTAGATATGTTTTAACAACACAGATGAATGAAATATATGATAATAGTTAATGCAATATTAATTCTTAAACTCTGTGCTCGTTGTGTGTCTCGCGAACTGATTGAATTAGCGATGTGCAGCTGTCTGGCCTAAACAGAAGCATGATATACTTGCCATGATACGTTCATGACTATGGCGTAAAATATCATGCATGCTTAAAATGTATGAAAATCATTCTCTCAGGGCAGGTTGGAGATGTTGTAATGCGGAAAATGATACTTACTTTTCCCTTTTAGCAAGCCTTTCTTCAGTCGGGAACCATATATGTCCAAATACCAGAAAGAAGAGAATCCAACTCACACTGCCACAAATCCACGTTGGTGTGTCAACACCTCCGAACATATTGTCCATGGATGTAATGTTTTTAAAGAAACACACAAGATAAGATTTATCTCCAAAATAGTAAACCAGCCATAGCAGCCCAAGCGTTGTTGGTGTTGAAAACAGTAATGGAAGTGAAAAGCAAGGGATCTGAATGTGTGCCTTGCAGGCCGCAACAGCCAAGATATGAAATATGGCTCCACATAGTATTGCTGTTCCTGCTGTGGTGAAGAAGAAGTTTGTTGAACATATTTCATCTAATTTACTGTTGTCGTTTAGAAGCACAATATTACCGAATATAGAACATTCTCTTGCTCCTCTCTCGAAACCAAATAACGTCCTTATACAGGTTGCTCTGTCACTGTACCCAAAGAAGATACTGGTCGAAAGGAATTGGGTTGCTATCTGTATCAGTGATACAATGAACTCCCTCAAAGCATGTGGCTGTGTTGTCTTCTTCGATAATCCAAAGGGTTTGCCAACATAATTATCCCACCACTTAACAGAGAGCATAAGGACACTTACGGGAAGTAGAACTGTCAATGAAATGGTAGTTTGAGCGCGGGAGAGAACTCGCCATGAGACAAAATTGGCTATATATAAAAAGGCAAGAACGAATTTAAGGATGTTAATTTTCAAAGTGGTGTGACCATTGCACCATCCTGAAAGAAGTCGAGTGATACACGGGACGAGACCAACTGTTGACATCAAAACACATCCGGTAATTGGGTGCAGGTGTGGAAAGACCAGGAATGTCAGAAGAAGAATCCCAAGGGAGTGAACCAACTCAGTCGCCAAACACTGAAAATATATGCATTTATATCTAGTAGCATACTCACAATATATAACACACTAGATTGACTGAATAGACACCCGTAATACCCACTGAATGTAACGACTAAGCATGCTACTGCATTTGTCAGTTCACACAATCAAGCGTGTTATGTCTCCGTGACATACAGGACACAATTTCAGTCAGAATACCCTACTTATAGGCAGAATTATCAATAAAGGTGAGGGTGATATATGTTCGGAAAATAGTATTTCACATATCATATTGACACCATGCTTACTGTCAGGGTAAGAAAGTTACTACTTGAAAATACGTACCACACCAATGGGCAATATCGCCTTTATTTTTTCTTTGATATTTTTCTTTTCCCTGTCCTCTTCCCTGGTCTGTATACAAAGTCTCCAGGTGCTGATAATTAGGTTCATCACACTCGGAATCACGAGACAGAGTAGCAGTGCCCAGACGAGTCTCACTTCGACAACTGGCCCATGGGTTTCTGACCCTTGCGTCAGAGTTTTGCCCAGGTGACTTGTTAGACTAAGGATGGAGAGTTTTGAGACGACTAGTAGTGACAGGTTGACAAGGAACAAGAGGAGGATAGTAACAATCTTACAGATTCTGTCCCTGGTGGATCTCCACTGTTTATTTTCAGCAGATGTAGACATAAGTTTCTCATGTTTCTGTTCAAATCTGTCCCATTCATGTTGGTGTTGTCTGCAAAGTGGAAACAAAATACGTGCAATTAACTCTTAATCATTTACAACTTCAGTGAAATCAACGAGCACAGATATGGTGCTTACAAACCAAGGACCATAACCGCTAAGGATTCGGGATTCGCACGACTGAGGGAGATAACTCTACATAACTTAACACATGTGTGTGATGGATTAAAAGCCAGATAAATATTTGCATAATCAACAGTATTTCTGCAAAAACAATGATTTTGGTATAAAATGTTTCCCTACGTTGTTACTTCGTCTTCCCCTTCAGCAAGGTTTTCAATGGTTCGACTCCGCCTGAGACTGCCTGCACGACAATGAGGTACATCCCCAATAATTTCGTCCATCTGGAAACTAGGATTGTCTTCCCCTTGAATAGACATCCTGGCTCGGTACGTCCTGAGGTGACAAATATTCAATAACATAGATAAGATACTGTCATGTTTTGACATTCGTCTAAAAGACATGAACACAGGTTAAGTACCGCTTACTATACATTTTCTTACAAGGAATCGTATCCTGTTGTATTTTATTACAAAACATATCTATTTTGGTTTATAAAAAGATAGTTTCATATTCAAATATAGAAACCTTAACTGTATACTATTATCTAGCGACGTAGTTTAAAACTGCTTCACCATAAGAGTTACTTGACAACCATTCCAATACCTTCTGAAGATCCGGGGTGAAATAGGTCTTCAGCAACCCATGCTTGCCACAAAAAGGCGACTATGCTTGTCGTAAGAGGCGACTAACGGGATCGGGTGGTCAGGCTCGCTGACTTGGTTGATGCATGTCATCGATCTCAATTGCGTAGATCGATGCTCATGATGTGAATCATCGGATTGCCTCGTCCAGACTCGATTATTTACAGACCGCCGTCATATAGCTGGAATATTGATGAGTGCGGCGTTAAACAACAAACAACAAAAAACGTTGCATCACAGGGCCAATATAAACTGGGGAACCTACAATCTATCCCACGTCACTAAAACATTAGTTTAATAAAAGCAACAAAACCATTTCCACAATCATGTGAAAGTCGCACTACATTTGAGCACTCTACCATGTAAAGCCATGATCACAAGACTGTTTAAAGTAGTTTCTATTCAATATCAAGGTGTTAAACTCATTTACGGGTCTTCAATGATTCAATGATGATAGAAAATGCGAAAGGTGTTTCAGTGTGATCTCGCCATACAGTACATACATGCATTTTCGGGGATGCGATAAATCTTACCTTGGAACCCAAGGGAATACGTACACAAACAACGAAACAGTCGCACAGGTTTCTAACAACAATACAAGCATCAGCCTTATTATGAGACGTCTCAAATTCGCCGTAATCCTATCATAGGTATCAACAACACGAAATAAGGTATGAACACACAGGGACCGGATTATAAGGTAACCCACTACCAATAGGTAAACAAGCAAAGTATGCATTGTATGCATGCCATAGGCATACGCATACATACGTAATGTACAGATATTAAGTCTCCTTTTGATGAAAATATTCGAGTTAATAACCTTCCAGATGAGATGATATGTTCATGTTTATGCTCATGTTCAAGACTGCATACCCGGCGTTAGTTTAGTTTCACATTGTTACAAACACGTACTAATTAATGCAAATTGTGTGAATGGCGGGTACTACCGGTAGAGCAGATATGCTTACCCTTTTCGCGAACACCTGGGCCCACTCGCACAAAGCGGTCTTAAGGCTAAGATGATCGTAACTCCCACACATTAACATAGGCTTAGCGCTAAGATCGCTTTGTGCAAGTGGGCCCTGGTGTCACCACTGATCTTCAGGGATTCATTCATACAAAAGTTGACAATAATTTTGTCTTTAAAGCCCAATAGAGTCGGCGGATATTCGAGACTCATTATTCTCTGGCGCTATGGATTTAAATACACTCTGTTCAAAATTCTGTTCAAAAGAAGTAATATGTATCAATTATTTTTTCAACACTTGTTCTTGTCAATCAACATGTTGGTTGGTGTGTTGTTTAACGCCGCACTCAGCAATATTCCGGCTATATGACGGCGGTATGTAAATACTAGTAATCGAGTCTGGACCACACAATCTAGTGATTAATATCGTGAGCATCGATCCACGCAATTGGGATCGATGACATGCATCAACCAAGTCAGCGAACCTGACCACCCGATCCCGTTAGTCGCCTCTTACGACAAGCATAGTCGCCTTTTACAGCAAGCATGGGATGCTGAAGATCCATCTAGTCAAAGTAGAAATGCCAGCAAACAGTCGCCAACTCCCACAACGAACAGGTCTATTAAGAATATTTTGATAATTCTATGTGTGGTGCGATTAAATATACCTGCCCTGTAGTTTGTAGTAGGCAGGAACAACATTCGGTCTGGCTTCTTTCTCCCATCGGTAATGGCGGGATCATTGACCCTTGCTCGGCCTGTTAGTGTTTCATCATCTGTACAAGCGCAAATACAGTAAAGTACGGTTATAACGAACTCAAAGGGACTACTAATTTCAGTTCGTTATAACCGTAGTTCGTTATAAGCATATACACAGCATAACTACAGCAAATAGTCGGGACCAAAAAAGTAAGTTCGTTATATCCGTCAGTTCGTTATAAGCGTGTTCGCTATAACCGTAGTTTACTGTAGATGAATGAAAGGTACTCGGTCACTGTTGTTTCTTTTTTCAAATTGGAGCATCAGAAATAAAAACTCTTCATCTCAAGAAGATTTCCAACGCGTATTTGTTAGACAGGGCTGAGAACCCATTATATGATTTTACTGTGTCTAAAACTAAGTGTTCCATTGTTCATTTCCATAAGAACATTTCAATTTCGTTGAATGCTGACATTCGGCCATGGTTTCTGTTAAATCTTCCACTTGATATTGCGACTTAACCGAGGATCAGGCGAATACAATGTGTGACCTGGATGATTATGTTTCATCAAACCTCTACGGCGTGTATTGTTGCTAAATGCTGTTGACTCACATTTTGTTTAGGTCAAACTCGTGTGTCCACACGGCGAATAGGGTGAGTCAGTGAGAGAGTATGGTTTTACCCAGGTTTAGCAATATCCCAGCTATATCAAACAATGGACCCTTGTAAGAAATCAAACCTGGGATTTCGGAGTGATGAGTGAACGCTTTAACCACCAGGCTACCCCACCACCGAACAAAAACGTTGGGGTATGCTGACTTTGAACTAATGCCACATTTACTCACTTTGTTTCCCTAAAGAATCAGATGTAGATAATGACCGTTTAACTACATTGATTTAACTGTTATGTAGGTTTTGACGTTAACACACCATATTTCAGCAATTTGTCGTGCGTGTGCGTGCGTGCACAATCGTGTTTGCACATACCGCGTTGTGTCCCGTGGGACCCGGGAAAATGTTCGAGTTTGGTTTGAGACATCAAGGGAATTTTAGGCATAATTTGGATACTTGGGTTTCCCAAAGGAGTTCGAGACAACCAGGATTTCGACACATCCAAGTTCGATACAACGAGGTTCGGCGGTACTGTTTTATGCAAATTATGCGAGATGCGGGTGCTACCGGTAGTGCAGGCCATGCTGACCTTTTTCGTGAACACTTAGTGTCACCATTGATTTTCAGTGATCCTTTTTTATTGTTTTCATGGATATCTTCCCTTCTACGCCAAATGTAATATGTTTGGGCGGATAACAGACGGATTATTCACTAGCCTTGACGTTTTATGTGTTCTAAAATCCCTGACTTTATGTCAAACTCACGCAGTTAATGTGCCCATAAATTCGGTTTAATTATTTTTAACATTTCATAATTAGACGATCATTTTCATGCAAGTTGTAACCTTAAACCATTTGTCATCTTTGTGTCACAAGGCAATACTTTGCCTTCAGTAATAATTTCATCTTAATATGCTCGGGGAAATTTATGTCCACCAATTACGAACGCTTGATCATTTGGATGTAAACTTTAGAAAACTAAGAGTGCAGTTTGGGAAATTGATTACAATGAATTTTATTGAAACATGTAATAGACATTAAAAGACGTGTGGTTGATTTTCGTTTCAAACGATCAAACGATTTCACATCCAATTCCAGGCACTTAGAACCCATGATAAGACAACTTCAGGTTTTATGTCACAAGTGAAAACGATTACAGCAGTTGAGATCAAAGCCAACTATTTCTCTCATTAGATAGTGTGATCAGAGCGAAGGCAGTAAAACACTGGTCATTCACTGTTTCGTTCCAGCCATTGTCAAAATGTCCTGCTAACGTCCCGTGTGATCATTCTGGAAATTAATTAATTTTTAGTTTCATATTGGAAACCGCTTTATGTTAAGCATAGAATAATTAAAAGGAGTATTTGCTATTTCCCTTTTGTCAGAGATCTGAATAGGAGGCAGAAGAAAATATTTGAGAATATTTTACATGGTGTTGATGAAATCGGGATATCCCTACAGCAAGATGGATCATTCCTATCATGGATGTCTGCTTTAGGTATAGAAATGAAAATGAAAACAATGTATGCAACATGTTAATAAAAGTGTCATTCTTTAGTGCTTCAGCAGGTACAAAGTCTGTACCAACTGCTTTCCCCGCCTTTCCTCTGTCAGCTGCTGGCACTGCCTCTTCTCTGGAGATGTGAGATTAAAGTGTTGACACATCAAATTCATGACCGACTTCACCAGAGGCGCGTGGCCCTGTGTTACAAGTATCATGATGTTTCTGGCACTCCCTCTTCTCTGGAGATGTGAGATTTAAGTGTTGACACATCAAATTCATGACCGACTTCTCCAGAGGCGCGTAGCCCTGTGTTACAAGAATCATGATGTTTCTGGCACTCCCTCTTTTCTGGAGATGTGAGATTTAAGTGTTGACACATCAAATTCATGACCGACTTCTCCAGAGGCGCGTGGCCCTGTGTTACAAGAATCATGATGTTTCTGGCACTCCCTCTTTTCTGGAGATGTGAGATTTAAGTGTTGACACATCAAATTCATGACCGACTTCACCAGAGGCGCGTGGCCCAGTGTTACAAGTATCATGATGTTTCTGGCACTCCCTCTTTTCTGGAGATGTGAGATTTAAGTGTTGACACTGTCATATTCATGACCGACTTCTCCAGAGGCGCGTGGCCCTGTGTTACAAGTATCATGATGTTTCTGGCACTCCCTCTTTTCTGGAGATGTGAGATTTAAGTGTTGACACATCAAATTCATGACCGACTTCACCAGAGGCGCGTGGCCCTGTGTTACAAGTATCATGATGTTTCTGGCACTCCCTCTTTTCTGGAGATGTGAGATTTAAGTGTTGACACATCAAATTCATGACCGACTTCACCAGAGGCGCGCAGCCCAGTGTTACAAGTATTATCACTACAGTGACTATTGCATGATGTTTCATA